GGGAGCCCGATGTGGGACTCGATCCAGGGACTCCAGGATCATGACCTGAGCCGAAGGCAGCCGCTTAACCAACTGAGCCACCCAGGCGCCCTCAGGACAACCTCTTGAAGCAGAAAGCAGGGTGGTGGTTGCACCTGGAGGGGAAAATATGTCTGGTAACAGTTTACAACAGCATTGATTAAGAGGAGAGTAGGAGTACTGAGCCTGCGGGAGGAGGAATGTAAAGGCTGTGGGATGCTGCCTGGCAATTTTTTCATTCATGAGCCCACATGACTAGCAGCAACTTAGTTCTCATCTTGGTAAATTTTCTATTTCTTCTGTCTATAAGCCAAGGGATTTCAGTTAATGATGTCTGAGTTCTCTGCGATGGTCATAGCTACTGTGACTAGGTCCATAGCAACATGATCTTTAATTCTGATGGAGGAAAACCTTTTACTTTGCTTTTCAGATATATTAGTCTAGATATTACAAACAGGTCGGAAGGAAAAATATGTTCAGACAAAAGGTCTTAGCGATTTCTCACTAGTATGTGGGGTCAGACTAATAAGCTTGCAGAGTGAAGTCATAGTTAATTATCACAGGCTTGGATAAAATTAGCCTACTACAAAGTTTACAACAAATAAAATTTTCTATCACAAATATTTTAACATTGTTACTCTCATGATTACAAATCAACAGCCTTTGGCATTATTAGAAATAATCTGTAAGTGTCAGAGAAGTTTTCTGTCCTTGGCAAATGGAGAGAGTAAGTTACGGAATAAACATTACTTTATGGTAAAATAGTCACTAACTCTTTAACAAGATGTAATAGGTGATTCAGAGCTTTGGGTTCTCAGCCTAGGTCAACAGTCTTCCGTTCTCTCACCGTTTATAATTGAAGTGTTAACTGAGGCTTTGTAACCTCTGACTCTGGCTAGGTTTTCTGGCTAAGGTTACAGAAAAGGGGACTGATAATTCTCGGTTTCTACAAGAACCCTGAAAGAGAGGAACTGTCTTCATTTTAGATGAGACAACCAGCCGAGCTGCGACTCAACCCACTCGAGTGGCTGCAGAGCCGCTGCCCTTTCCTCTTGCCACTCGGAATTCTAACTTTCCCTTCTGTGACGCAGCGACTGCTAGCTCCATAAAGGCACCCAGGACCCGCCCTGCGGGCAGAGAAAAGGGCGCGCCGCGGACGCGAGCCCTGGCATTTGAGCGAAGGCGCCCCGCCTTCCTGGGCAGGGACCCCGGGAGGGGGCGGGGGCGGGGCGGGGCCTGTAGCCGCGGGAATCCCAAGCCCGTCCCCTTCCCCACCCCTCCGTGTGTCGCCATGGCCCCAGCTCTGCTCCTGATCCCTGCTGCCCTCGCCTCTTTCATCCTGGCCTTTGGCACCGGAGTGGAGTTCGTGCGCTTTACCTCTCTTCGGCCACTTCTTGGAGGGATCCCGGAGCCTCGTGGTCCGGGTGAGCGGGAGGGATCGAGGATGAGCTCTGGGGCTGGAGGTGGAGCCGGACGAGAGGGAGGGAGGGCGGGGCCTGGAGACAAATGACAGGGGAAGTCCGGGAGAGGGAACTAGAACCGTGAAAGCCGGAGAAGCCGGAGAAGCTTCAGGACAGACCAGAAGGCTAAATTAGGAACTCAGGGATTAGCGGTTTGGAGAGGCAAGAGAGTGAGGACTGAGTGGGGTGGAAAAGGGCGATAAGCAGAGGAAAGGAAAGTGCTTTTAAAGAGAGGACTATGGAGGGGAGAGTGTTCAAAAGAGGGAGCATTTGGAGTACCGAAAGAAGAGGGTCAGTCCAACGGTTGCCTCTCCAGCCATGCTTTTTGTGACTGTATAGGAATCCTCCTCCCCACTCTGAAGGAGGAAGAAGCAGGGAATGGAAAAGCAAGGTGGGCAAAGCCTGGAGAGGAAGCATTAAGACTCTTGAAAGCATTAAGGGGATATGGCCTGGGTCCCCAAAAGGAGAGTAGGATTGGGGGTGTTTCCCACAACCCTCTTGATCTTTTGTCCCTTTCTTCAACTCCCCCTAGATGCCCGCCAGGGATGGCTGGCTGCCGTGCAGGACCGCAGCATCCTTGTCCCCCTGGCTTGGGATCTGGGTCTCCTCCTACTATTTGTGGGGCAGCACAGCCTCATGGCAACTGACACAGTGAAGGCGTGGATGTCTCGATATTTTGGGGTCCTACAGAGGTCACTGTATGTCGCATGCACTGCCCTGGCCTTGCAGGTATGAGGCTTTGGCCACTGAGTCCCAAGGGAAACTATCTGTGAGAAGAGTGTCCTAGATTGGAGGGGCAAGGACCTTAGCCTTCTGAAAATGTGGGTTTAGGAAGAGAACTGAGAGTGTTCAGGACTCTCATCTCAGCTTCCATTCCTCCACAGCACATATCCTCCGTATCAAGAACGGTGTACCTTTCCTCATTCCCCAAGCAGATATGTGCATTCTCACCTTTACAGCTTTGTTCATGTTGTTCTGCTTGAGATCCCCTCGGTAACACCTCTTTCATTGCTACCCTTTCTTCAAAACCACTTCCCTCAGTTTCAAGAGAAGGCTTCCCAGTTAGCATTCATTTGTCTTCTCAGTGAGTGCTTGGCATAAGCTACTTTATGTACCTATCCGGTCACCCCATCTGTTCTGCAAGTCCTCAGGGTAGATACAGGTCATCCTTACATCCTTGGGACCCCACCTAGCACCCTCTATGTGGTGACTGTGATGCTCATGGTAGAGGTGGAGAGAGCTGCAGACCAGCCTGGGGTGGGGGCAGCCTCTGGGTCTAGGTCTTTCAAGGGTAGGCTGCTGAGATACCCAACCGCTCATCCTTCCCCAGTTGGTGATGCGGTACTGGGAACCTGTACCCAGAGGCCCTGTGTTGTGGGAGGCTCGGGCTGAACCATGGGCCACCTGGGTGCCCCTGCTCTGCTTTGTGCTCCACGTCATATCCTGGCTCCTCATCTTCAGCATCCTTCTCGTCTTTGACTACGCCGAGCTCATGGGCCTCAAGCAGGTGAGGCTGCCAGATTCCTACCTGAGACCTATGATTCCTTCTAGAATGCCTTTTTCCGTTCTAAGGATTTCCCTCCTCCTCCCGTGCTCTTCCACCTTCCTCTTCTTTCAACTCCCTCACCTACTTCCCTTTCTTATAAGATAGTCTCCCCTCAGCTTTCTGTGGAAGGCCTGAAACCATGGGCCTCCTGGGACTGGGGAAGGTTCATGAGCCAGAGATGAGGATCAGGGGCCCACGTCTCAGAAGGGTGGTTTTTGGGCCTGAGTTACAGAAGGGGAAGTTTCCTGGAAGGGGAGGAAAGAGGTAACTAAGGTGCAAAAGGGGCTTGATCCCATTTCTAAGCTGTTCTCCCTCCTAGGTGTACTACCATGTGCTGGGGCTGGGTGAGCCTCTGGCCCTGAAGTCTCCCCGGGCTCTGAGACTCTTCTCCCACTTGCGCCACCCAGTGTGTGTGGAGCTGCTGACGGTGCTGTGGGTGGTGCCCACCCTGGGCACTGACCGCCTCCTCCTTGCTCTCCTCCTTACCCTCTATCTGGGCCTGGCTCATGGACTTGACCAGCAAGACCTCCGCTACCTCCGGGCCCAGTTACAAAGAAAACTCCACCTGCTCTCCCGGCCCCAGGAAGGTGAGGCCGAGTGAGGAGCTAACCTGGTTCCGAGCCCTGCACTTCCTCTCCTTTAACATCCAGGCCCTGGCTGCTTCAGACCAGAGGCCCAAATCTGTGGACTGAAGGGGCTATCCCTTCCCCTGCTTGAGCCTCCACTCCTTGGGCCCAGCTCCATACCCTAAATTCTGAGTTTCAACCACTGGACTCCAACATCTACTTCTCACCAGCCAGGAAGAGGGGGTGGGGAACTTATCTGTCTCCTCAGTTAGGGCTTGACTCCTCCACCCCCCACCTTAAGAACCTCTTATAAGGAAGAAGGGTGGGCCTGACCACTTCCCTCCCACTGTTCTGCACCTCAGGGATCCCCTTCTCCTCCTCTGGCTTCCCTTTCTAGGAGTGGTACTAGGGTCTGCAGGTTTGATGGTGATGCCTGCCCTTCCAGGCTCCAAGTGCCAGCCCCCTGGCTAGCCTTGCCATCTCCTTAGGCCCTGGCCCTGGGCTCTGTCCTCTAACCTAGTTGAGAGGATCCTCCCACTCTTCATTTTGGGTGACTAAGAGCTCTCTGCTGTCCTGAGGAACACGCACAGCAGAAAAATAAAATTCAGCCTGTTTTTTCTACATATGATATGCAGTCTATCACTGTCTCTCTAGCTAGAGGGCTGACTTTGGGAAGGAAGGCAAGCGGAGCCCGGGCACGCCAAACTCGAGTCTGGGCAGCCACCGCGCCCTCTGGCGACCGCCGAGCGGCGGCCACTCGGGCAGAGCCCCCCCCACCTCCCCAGGTCGGCCCAGTCCCCCTTCCTCCAAATCCCCCAGTTTCCCTCGCTGCAGACCAGGGGACCCATGGGAGACAGGTTGAAGCTAAAGAGTGGGGCAGCGGCTCAGGTGGGGGAGCCAGTTTCCATGGCCGTTGGCTTCTGAGTACCTCTCCTGCCACCCCCTCTCCACGGGCCCACCACAGCCTGGTGGCGGCCCTGGACCCCGCAGTAACAAAGGCTCGCCGGGGGAGGCGAAAGCGTGGGGAGGAGCGGCAGGAGATGGGAAGGGCGGGCCCGGCTGTAGCAGCTGCTGCTTCCTCTGCAAGTCCCTCGAGGGGCCTGAGTCACGGGCGGCTGCCTTGGGTCGGCGAGCTCGGGGCGAGGGTCCGGACACCTGGGTTCTCCAGGGCTACCGAGAGGGAGCGGGGTGTGGTCCCCGGGGACAGAAATGGAGGGCCGGGGGTTGCGGCGGGAAAAGGGGAGTCCGCGAGCCTAGCCCCACGCGGAGGGGTCTCTGGAGCGAGGCCCCGCCCCTCGGGCCCCGCCCCGCGCCCCCTTCCCTCTCCCCATTGTCCTCAGATAAAGCGGTCGCCGCCCCCCGCCCGGCCCCCAGGTCTCTCTCTGTCTCCGTCCCTCCTCCTCGACTCCCTCTTTCCCTCCTCCTCCTCTCCTTCCCTCCTCCCCTCCCTCCTGTCTCCGGATCTCCCTCGGTCCCACTCTCCTCCTCTTCCTCTCTCCTCCTCCCTCCGGACGCCAGGCTCCTCCGCACCCCCTCCCCTGGGAGCCCCGCTGCCTTGTGAGTTGACTGAGGGGCCTCAGACTTGGGGAGGGGGTGTCTCCTGTCTCCCGTCCCCGGCCCGGACCTTGGGCTGTCTCCTCTTTGTGCCGAGATTGCCTGTCTGAGCGGTCCGAGCTGGGTGGGAATGGCCGGCTATGTCAGGGTTCCCTGAGAGCGGAGACCCGGGCATTGGACTGGCAGGCTCGGGAGAGCAGAGCCGTGGAGCGGGTCCTCCGCACGCCACGGCCCCGGGCCCGGCCGGTGGGAGAGGCAGGCGGCGGGGACGGGACGGGGTGGGGGTGGACGCCAGGGTTCTGGGAACGTGCTGGCAGCCCAGACACCCGGGTTCCGAAAGTCCCCAAGGGAGGGTATTCCCCCCTCCCCCCCCGCCCCGAGCTGCCTGGGGGCGGAGTGCCGGGTGGCGGCTGGGGGGCCGGAGAGGCGTGGCCGGAGCGGAGCTGGGAGGGGAGCCGGGACCTCCCGAGCCCGCGCTGAGACGCGCCCGGGCGCCCGCGGAGCTCCATTTCCCCTCTGCCCCCTGATTCCCCTGCTCCCTTAGACCTCTCCACTCCCCGCCCCTCCTCACCTCCCCGACATCCCCTCAGGTCCCACCACCCCCTCTCGGGCGGGATTCCCTGATCTCCCTTCCCACTCTAACCGCCTCTGGGGTAACGGTGGGGAAACCTCGCCTGAACCCTACCTCCCTCACCCCCCGCCTCTCTTTTCTTTCTCCTCCCTCATTCCGACTTCTTTTTCCGCCCTCCTCTCCTCTCACATCCTTGGGACTGTCTCTGATACCATTAACCCTGCGCTGCCAAATCTGACTCCTGCCTCTTTGCCCTGAATCTCTATTCTTCCTCTCAGGGCCACGACCCCACCCCCACTTGGCCCACAGCTTTTTCACTTTCTGTTTTCCCCTTTCTTTGCCCTCCATCTTCTCACTCCTTCCGTCTGTCTTTACCCTCAGCTCCTGTGCCCATCTCTGTGTCCCACCTCTCCCCCTCTACTTCCTCTCCCCCCACCCCCAGTCTCACCCCCTGGAGCCTCTCTTTCCTGTTCTCTGGCCCCAGCACTCCCCACCCTCACCTCAGCGCGACCATGGCCACCATCCCAGACTGGAAGCTACAGCTGCTAGCCCGGCGCCGGCAGGAGGAGGCAGCCCTTCGTGGCCGGGAGAAGGCAGAACGGGAGCGTCTGTCCCAGATGCCAGCCTGGAAGCGGGGGCTGCTGGAGCGCCGCCGGGCCAAGCTTGGTCTGTCTCCTGGAGAACCTAGCCCTGCACCTGGGACTACAGAGGTTGGACCTCCAGACCCAGATGAGTCGGCCGTCCTCCTGGAGGCCATTGGGCCGGTGCACCAGAACCGATTCATTCGGCAGGAGCGCCAGCAGCAGCAGCAGCAGCAGCAGCAGCAGCAGCAGCAGCGGAATGAAGAGTTAATTGCAGAGAGAAGGCCTGGGCCTTTGGAGGCCCGGGAGCGGAGACCCAGCCCTGGGGAGATGCGGGATCAGAGCCCCAAGGGAAGAGAGTCAAAAGAAGAGCGGCTCAGTCCCAGGGAGGCCAGAGAGAGGAGGTTGGGGATAGGGGGAGCCCGAGAGTTGAGCCCCAGGCCTTCAGAGGCTTTGGACTGGAGGCAGAGCCCAGGAGAGGCTGGAGACAGGAGCTCCAGACTGCCAGAGGCCCGGAAATGGAGGCTGAGCCCCGGAGAAAATCCAGAGTGGAGTCTGAGACTGGCAGAGCCTGGAGAACAAAGCCCCAGGAGAAAAGAGGTGGTGGAAAGTAGACTGAGCCCAGCAGAGCCCACCCAGAAGTTGGGGCTGACAGAGTCCCATAAATGGAGGCCTGACTCTGGAGAGTCTCAGGAACAGAGTTTGGTACAACTGGAGGCATCAGAGTGGAGGCTGAGCTCAGAAAAAGAAAGAAAAGACTGTTCGGAGGAATGTGGGAGAAAAGAAGAGAGACCAGTTCCAAGGCTGGCCTCAGAAGAGATTACAGAGCTGCCGGAGACCCTGACAAGGGAGGCTCCAGACAGCAGCTCCGGAGAAGCGGAGGCAGCAGAGCAAAGGCCCAGCCCTGTGGAGGATGGTGAGAGGGGCCTGAGGCTGACAGAAGGATGGAAATGGACCCTGAACTCTGGAAAGGTTCGAGAATGGACACCCAGGGACACAGAGGCTCAAACTCAGAAACCAGTCCCCCCAGAGTCTGCTGAGAAGTATCTGGGGCCTCTTGGTACCGAGGCTGGAGAAGGGGAGGCTGAGAAGGAGAAGGCGGGGGCTCAGGGCAGGCCTCTGAGAACCCTGCAGAACGACAGCTCTGTGCCCTCCCCCTTCCCACCAGAGCACGCTGGGACTGGAGGCTCTAGAAGGCAGGAAGAGGAAGCAGTGGATCTCCGGCCCCCACCAGCAGCCCCTCTGTCTCCCCCACCCCCAGCCCCACCTGCTCCCCAGTCCCCTGGGGATCCCCTCATGAACCGTCTGTTCTATGGGGTGAAGGCAGGGCCGGGGGTGGGGGCCCCTCGCCGCAGTGGACACACCTTCACAGTCAACCCCCGGCGGCCTGTGCCCCCTGCGGCCCCCAGCACCCCCGCCACCCCAGCCACAGCTGATGCGGCGGTCCCTGGAGCTGGGAAGAAGCGGTACCCGACTGCTGAGGAGATCTTGGTTCTGGGGGGCTACCTCCGCCTCAGCCGCAGCTGCCTTGCCAAGGGGTCCCCTGAAAGGCACCACAAACAGGTAGGGAGCAGCCAAGCCAGACCTCTCAGAAGCCCGCTCCTCAGTTCTCTCCGGCCTCCTTTCTTTTTTATATCCCTGTATTCTTGTCCTCCTCTATTCTTTCGTGTTAATTCCTGCCGCCACCCTTCCTCCTCTACACACACCCTTCCTTCTTAGAGAGTTCATTTTCCATTCATTTCCAAGCCCAAGGATCCTGCCCCAAATCAAGTGCTGCCCCTGGGTGTGTCTCACAGGGTGTGCCCAGGCTGCTCACTCTTCATTCCCTCAGGCTCTGGGTCCCATCTTCCCCGCCCCCTCAGCTCCCCCCACACCCCCTGCCGCCGCCCCATTTCTTCCCTTCCTTTCCTCTGAGTCTGTGACCGAACGCAGCCCTTCTGGTGGGAGACCTGAACCAAGGCTACAGCCTAGAATCTATGAGAGCAGGGTCATCAGGTTGAAAGCACATACAGCCTTCCAAGGGAGTGAATGTTGGGGCAGGAAGCCTCAAGAGGCACAGGGGGTGGCTTTGGGGTTCTAGGGAGAAATGGCAGGGAGAAGTGAGTGGAGGAAGGTCTCAGTCCCAAGGCAGGCCAGAGCTGAACGAGGAGACGTCCTAGGGTGGGGGCGGGGGAATGGAATAGGGCTGGAGAACAGAGAGAAGACTTCTGAACCCCGAGTCTGCTCCATGGGAGAGGCGCACACAGAGGCCGTTTGAAGTGGGTGACCTCAGGGTTGCACACCCCCAGCTGGGCCACTGCTTTAGACAGTGCTCCCTTCTCTCTTAGGACAAGAAAAGCCTTCTCTTCTTCCAAAATACCCCCGCTCCTTACTCCCCTTCTTCTTCCTCCCTGGGCTTCCCCTCCCTCCCCAGGACTGGCTCAGCAGTTGGTTTTCCCCTTTTTCCCCTCTCTTCCTGCTGCCCTGGCCTGTCCCTCCCTTTGGGGTAGCAGAAGAGAGAAGTGAATTTGGAGGCACGGTGCTGAGAGCAGGGAATACAATGGGAGTTGGGGACAGGGGTGGGGGCTGAGGCCAGCAGAGGGTCAGAGGTTAAAACTGGAAAAAGGACAAAGTGCAGGAAGTGGGAGCAGCCAGGCTTCTCGCCCTGGCTTCAGCCCAACCCCTTCCTTACACACCAACTTGTTTCCAGCTTGAAAATCTCTAAGGAGAGAGAGGTCCCTGCACCTAACACATCTCCCCAGAGACCGGGAAGCCCTTCCTAGTCTCCAGTCCTCATCTCATCTGACATCCTCAGATTTGTTTTTTTCGTGTGTCCTGTCAGTGGGAAACCACAGGGACCAAAGACCTAGATGGAGCTTGCGGGTCACTTGGTCCCCCAATTCATCTTCATGTGAAGCTCATGCTCCCATCCTGAGCCATGGTACCAGCGTCTATCCTGAGCACTCTGACTGCTGCCAACCCCGTCCCCTTCGGGCTGGGCAGGTGTAAGGAGGTGGGTCTGGAGCTGCCAGGATTAGCTGTTCAGACAAGTCACTTGCTACTGAGGTTGGCCTGTGCCTTTGGGGAGGAAGAGCAGAGGGAGGCATGAAGTTTGGGGCCCAAAGCTGGGGACCATATGAGTGCAGGGCAGGACCTCTGATAGTGACCCTACCTAGGTCAGGGAGTAGGGGAGCCGGAAGCAGATCACCCAAACAGGAAGCCTGGGGGTGGGGGCCGGAAGGCTGGTAGGGCTGAGTGGGGAACCGCTGGGCCCTGGGCCTGCCAGAACTGCTCAGGATGTGGTGAGAGAATAAGGAAGCCCTGGCTGCTCTGGGGGTGGGGGTGGGGAGAAGCAGCACAGAGTTTTCTAGACCCAGACACCTCCCCCTCCACCCTGTGTCAGGCCTCCTTCCCCTCTCTCTGCACCCTGCTCAGCAGGGACTAGAATGCCTTGTCCCAGCTCTGACCCAACCCACTTGCTTGGGGACCAGAGGACCACCCCCCCTTCCCTAAATAACTTCTGTTTGCAAGCTAATGCCATCAAACATATCCTTGCCACGGAGAGAAATCCCAGCCCTGCCCTGTGGCTGGTGCCCTTCCCCAGAGGCCCTTCTAGCTGAGAGATGGGCTCCTCCCCTCTCTGGCCCCCTTGTGACTTTA